CATCAACTGAAAATTTAAATATGGCAGTTTAAGATTTTACATTTATTGTTACAAATGAGCAGTAACATTTGGAAGAAAAAGATAAAGCAGACTTCCGCGTAAAAAGACAATCAGTACATGAGACAAGATTCAAATATGTGACTGTGGCGGTCCATAGGTTCAGCCTCGGCGTCGGCACCAGTGAAGACGAGAAAGCTACTCAACGGAACAGGCTCGACGGCACGAGAATAAACGGAATGTTTTCAGTAAACCTCGTAGTCGGTCGCCACTATGGTCGCATCATCTCTTCTGCCCTCATCATCGAACACGCAACAAATTAGTGTAATGATCGATTCCGAGCACCTGCCATCCATGGGACCACTCTTCGCAGCCCAGGGCTCGGCATGCCTTTTCGGGTAAAAATGCAGCAGCGGCATCTTCCACTTTCCCGGCCTCCGCATTTGCAACCTCCTCGATCGCCTCTGCCCCGTGTTGTCTGCTGCCGGCTAGTTCGAGAAATTGGCTGCGACCACCTCGCTGGCCAAGCCGGCTCGGCAAGTGAACGTTAATTGACATTCCCACACTGTTCACAGCATAGCACCTTGCTAACTGACCAGGGTCTCCTCATCGCTTCTGCATCAGGCATACGCTCTCCGCTCGGTTCCTCATATTCTGGGATAATATTGCTTCGGCTCCACAGCCGACATCTTCCCTAGAGTCTGAAGCTGCACATTCTGTTGTGATCGAGCCGGACAAACAACACGACTGGGTCGATTTTCGCGCTGTCCGCTGCATCATTGCCTGACCTCAGCGTCAACTATCTGCAAGGATTTGAGAGCTGCCTTTCCTGCTCTCGCATACGTCGCCCTGCTCGTGGCAGACGGAAACACCAATAACTATTCTCTGGAGCCACAACTGGTACTGCAACGGAATCGTTCCATCACCCGCTGGCTACAGGCGGCGGCTCTAGGGGGGGGGGGGGGGGGGGGGGCAGCTCTATGGCGTTTCATCGGTTCAGTCTCGGCACCGAGGAAGACGACATAGTTACTCGTCGGCACGAGCTCGATCGCACATGAACAAACAAAATGTTTTCATCTAAACTTGCAGTCGGTCGCACCATATATCTCCCGCCCTCATCATCGAAAAGGCTACAGGCACTAAGCAAGAAACACAAATCAAATGAAACGCATAAATGCTAAGATCAGACATACGGCGAATGTTCAGGTCTGGCTATCATGGCGGCGAAGCTTAGGGTCGGCAGCTGGAGCGGAGCAGGGTTGACAGGATCCCGTGGTTCGATGGCTCTCTCAAGCTCTTCCCTCAGAACTTCGGCGATGGACAGCGACGCCGGTGGGTCGGCAGCAGGCTGTAGTTTCTCGAGTTTTTCGCGTACGACTTGGCAGACTATCTCGCGAAGCTCGTCGGCGCTTGTGCTGAACTCGGAGCTGGCCGATGCCAGAGTTGAAACGTCGTTGAGCTGATGATAGTTGCGCATTCGGGCCATTAGCGCCCGCTCGATGTTTGTCACTTCGGCAACAAATTCTTCAAGGGTCGTCAGGGGGTTGCGAATAAGTCCGCCGAAGATTTCTCTTTTCACGCCTCTCATAAGGAAGCGCAACTTTTTTTGGTCGGCGGCTTGCGGGTCGGCGCGGCTGCACAGGCGAAGGATGTCTGCAACGAAAGTGGTGACCGTTTCGTTACCCGTATGGAAATTTTATATCTGGGCCATATCTGGCCATATCAAACATTATATGATTATATACGGCCTATATACAAACTTATCTGGCGTATATACAGACTTATCTGGCGTATATACAGCCTGATATGGCGTATATACAGACTTATCTGGTGTATATACAGACTTATCTGGCGTATATACAGACTTATCTGGCGTATATACAGCCTTATCCGGGGAATATGAAGTCTTATCTGGGAATGTATACAGCCTCATTTGAGGTATATATATACTTTGTTATCTGTCGTATACAGCTTTATCTAGCGGCCGGTTTTTAATTAATTGTGTATAAATAAGTTAAATAAATGAAGGACGTTTACAACTCCAATGCTGAATTGGCTCTCTTTTTGAGAGGATCCGGAGGGGATATGGTATGCGCAGGCCTCTCCTCCTCCCTCATCTGCTCCTCGCCTCCTCCCACTCCATCTGAAGCGGTGCATTATGGGAAACGTACCATATAATGCAACGCGCGCGTCACCGCGGTGTGCATTAATTATGGCACGTTTCTAATAATGCACAGCGCGGTTACGCCGACGGCGACGCGTCACGCCGACGCCGGCGTGCCGTAACGCGTCGGCGTAACGCTTTTTCGTGACGCGTCGCCGTCGGCATAAAGCTTTTTCGTGACGCGTCGGCGTCACCGTAACACCTTTTCGTGACGCGTTACGCCGACGGCAACGCCACTTAAGCCGGAAACAAACGCCTAAGAGCTGCGCTAAAAAAAAAAAAAAAAAAAAGTTAAGAACTAATTTGTTAATTAGCTAATTCGTAAATTACTAAATCTAAATAGCACAAATAATCCCAAACCTTAGCTTTGGCAAGCTTAAGATTGGGATTATTTGTGCTAAAGTTCGCGAGGATTTCAATTTCAATCAATTTCAATTCGAAAACTAACATTACGACCGAAATGTTCGGGAAACCCATTTTCTCGGAATCGTAGACGATTCGCCAAGTTCACGAAAATTCAGTAATTTACAGCATCAACTTTCCTGTTTGGCATTCCAGGGCAAAACAAAATAAGTCAGATAATTTAGATATTTAACAACCGAATATTCCCCTGGGTTTGTATTTCCTAATATTATTGTTAGGAAGGTGATGCTTTTACATTGTGTACTCGGTGCTATATAAGTGGACGAGTAGAATTTCTAATTTGTTTTGAAATGTTTAACAATACTAGCTGTTTTAGAAAAAATACACTATTTTTCACCTCTCAGCAAACATTTCAAAAAGCGTTTGTCCAAGTCAGTATCTAATATGTAACTTTTCACTTTCCTATCATTAATTTTGGAGGAAGTATATATAAAACTGTGTCAATATTTCATTGTTATCTAAATGAATTAGTTTATGGCAGTCATACTTCGCCCTCGAATGCCCAACTAAATATGACAGCAGCCACTTCGGACTATTTGCCTTTTTATTTTAATAAATAAAAGCTGCTTTGAAGCAAATCAAGACAGCAGGAGACATGACCATTGATACAAAGAATAGAATTATTACAATTGATAAATTTTCACTCAATATTCTTGCCCCTTTTTCCTCATCAAGTAGTCTATTTGGGTAGTTAGAGGAGCCTTTTTTTGAAATGCACAATTATGACCAGTCTTCCATTAAAAATTTGCAGTTATAAGACTGCAAACCTTTTTTTCTCCACAAGTCTACTGTTTTTTTACATTGGTATGATCTTACATCTAAATATATGTGAAAAAGCACGTGAAAAAAAATAAATACATAACCAAAATTGTCTTTCGAATTACCGAAAAGTTCATTAACATACATAACGTGTACTGAGATTATTATTTATGGTTTGATCAAATCGGCTCAATTTTCATTTGTTGTCATGTGCTACATAGTGTACACCAACAAACGACAGGAAAAAAAGGCTGCTTTATGGGAGTCTGACAAATGTACCAGCCCCCCCCCCCCCCTTCAGTTTGGGTTGGTTAATGTTGACAGTGCAGGTTAATTTGATATGCATGTGGTACAAATAAGTCAGAGAACTGCATTGGGCATAACAAATATTTTTTTATCTCCACAATTCAACTTCATGTAAATCACACATCGAAAATAAACATGCTTAAACACACAAAAACATGGCTTTGTCAGGTTCTGACAAACACAGTCAAATCACAATTATTCAGAAAACTTCTAATTTGCTCAGCAGTGGAGAAAATGACAGATTTGACGCCTGCTTTGAACACACCTAAACATTACTTGTTGCAAAGCCACACACTACCAGACATGATTTGGTCCAATCCTGACACACGCAACCAAAATCTGGATTCCACAAAACACGCGGCAAAGGATGCAACGGGATGCTACAAACACCAAAACATCACTCATACAGCAATATCTCGAACGGATGACTATTTAAAAAAAAAAGAAAAAAAGAGGCGAATTTGACAGATATGTTTACACCTTGTTTCTCTGAGAAGGAGAGCGGACGGCCTCGCGTCTTCTCCACCTCGCCGCCTTGAGAGGGCAAAGCGAAGTGAGGAGGAAACGAGATATCTTGACGTCACATGATTTGTCCGCCTGGTTCAATCTCGACCTCTTTTCCCAAAAATATGGCCGTCCATTCGAGATATCGCCTTACGAGTAGTGTTGTAGCGATTGTAACATCCCACCTACATCTCCTGCATTGTTTTTTTGTTTTTTTTTTTTGAATCCAAATTTCGGTTCACCATTTTTTTAAAGCAGAATTCACAAAACTTTTTCCTCAATCAGCGGGGAAGGGAGGTAGTTTGGTAAATACCGTAAAATACCGAGCATCCGCCCATTTCACATTAAGTGCCCACCCCCACATTTTGTAAGAGCTGACAAGATATGCACAGTACAAATATATGTAAAACTTATGACCACACATATGACATTTTGTTGTTTCGTTTTGCTTTAAGCTGGGAGCCAAAGTGATGTGTAAGACCATCTAAGTCCACCATCAAGGCACACCATGCGTACCAAGTTCATTTGTGCAATACATTTTTGAAAAGTGTTTAAGATCAAGTGGAACCACACAAGAGTTTTTGGAGAAACCAAGGTAATAGTAAATTTGGGCGTTTACGTGCCAAACATACGAAGGGTATCTGGCACACCCAAGGGGGGACTGAGGATTAATTCAACCACCTGGGGACCTCTAGATGTGCAACCAAAAGTTTGGTTACACGGCGCCTTTTCCGCAATAAGCCTCTGTTATATTGCGGGCAGCTCAGGACAACATAGCAAAGGTTCTGATCATGTGCTGCAGCTCAATGTCCAGGGGCATGTACAGTAACAATTAGGAAAGGAGCAGTCTACTGGGCTTTACAAATTCATCTCAAACAGATTCGGTGTTGAAACAATGTAATCGAGAACAAAAATACACTTGTGGAGTTCTGTTTGGGGAAGGGGGACAATGACAAGCTGATTGTCGGCGGAATACACAGGGATGAATTGGGAAAGTGAGTAGTTCATGCTCTCGTGAAAAATTGTCTCAGAATCATCGATAAAAAACTCGTTGAGGACAGCATACACTTCCATGCTGTTCTTCACAAAGCACTCAATGGATGCATAGCAAATACCGTTTTCAGTAGTACATCTGACTGTTCTGTTATTTCTAAGTTTCTGGTTTTCATAAATACTAGATGTGAAAGTGACACAACCAATCGTTGCCCTCTTGTAGATCAATGCATTGTCGAACATAGACTGGGTCGATAAGAAACTTGCTATCTTTCTGTTCGCTTCACATGGGCGTCCATGGAGTTTTACAGATCCGTCTGTAGTCTGTTTTGGAAAATGAACATTCCGAATTCTGTTCAAGACAGAAAATGCAGTAGAGCCCTTATCCATGCGTCGCTCAATTGAGTTAAGTGCATTTCCGATCCCGACAAGAGTAGCAAGTTGCTTATCGATTGCCCTGGTGCCTTGGATAACTCTAACTAGTTCACCATTTCTATCTTCAAAAAGAAATGCAGACGTTGCCCAGAGGGGGCCCCAACGTCTTACAGAAAGACCGAGATGTGTTAACTGGTGCATGTTGAAAGTTAAAAACTGTGGTCCATAAAGTGATGCGGACTCTTCAACAAAGCGACTAAGAAAAGTTTCGGCCAGATCAATTTCGTGACGTCTCACAGACTGCTTCAACAGCATATGGATGGCGGAGACGAGGAGGACAAAATGTTGCAGATGAGCCAGTGGAAGAATGCCAGAAAGTACTGGAATAGAATAAAAAAGTAGCCATGCCCTGAACTCACTTGCTTTCCAATACATTCTATGCCTGACAGAGCGCGGCGTTCTAGTGATAAAATCGGGTGGCTGGATGGCCAGCAGCCTCTCGTCAATTGTTTTCAACTGTCGTCCGAGGTACCATGGCTCTGCATGATACTTACTGTCAAACCAGGTGGCCATTAGCATTTTCACTACCCCTAGCAGTACACAGTGCATGTAATCTATTACAAAACTGGACGCCAAATCAAAACGGGGAATCAAACTCAATACAGACGGCCCTTTTACGCCCTGTACTACAGTTTGGCTATTCACAGCCTGTACGGCCTGCTGCTTCATGCCACTCCCCGTTCGCAAAGCATGCGTACCCGGAACATAAATCCATGATCGGGAGGAGCCATTGCGCTGACAAGTTTTGCCAGGGGCCTCACATAGAGAGCACCCATGCAAGCCATTAAACTGGCGAATATTCTGCAGCAGAGCCTTTGCTACGGCGTCCACAGATGTGACTGGTGCAAAAATACGGGATATCAGTTGTCGTCCAGTTACAGGATGAGTCCATCTCAAACCCTGCAATGCGAGTTTTTTTCACTTCCAAACAAAATGGTCGAAGAAAGGTATTAACGTCAGGCTTTGAGCCACACCAAAGGAGAGTCAGTAGTTGAAATTTCTTGCGTAGTTGGGGGGGCAGTTCAGGGATTACACAGTGCAAGGGCCACAAGGAAGAGGTTGAGCTTTTGAACACCTTAACACCATCAGTGTTCCAGAACAAAGAGAAGTCATATTTGCCGCTTCCAGACCTCACCTTCTTGTATTCATCCCCATCTGTTAGATCACTGTAGGCATCAGAAGTGCCATGGTTGGGTGGTGAGAAGTATTCATACATCCTTTCATCCTCTAAGAATGAGCGCAGCGTTGGAGCTAACTCTATCTGTAAAAATCTGCCGCAGTTGATAAGTGATTTGGTGCACAATGGACAGCATGCGATTCCAGCGGAAACAGAGGTGTGGCAATTCTTGCAAAAGAAATGTTCTTTTGCTGGATCACCGGATCGATACTTGGAAAGGAGCTTGAAAAAGGTGTACGTCGTTGACGGAAGAGAATGTGGGCGGGGCAGAAATAAGTTGAGAGCAAATAACAAAGCTGAAAGAAACTCTCGCGTGAGGTTGAATTTGAAGAACAAGTTCATCAGGATGACACAAACTTCAATGCAGGACATAGAACACCCATCAAAAAGGGGAGTGTGGGCCAAACCTTCCTGTACATAGCTGTCACCTGGGCATTGTTCACCGGAGGAGGTACTGTCTCCGTCATCGGCTTCATCAGAACTTGAAACACTGATGTCCGAGCAGATGCTCCTCTCTTCTTCGGCATCACTTGCATCCTCTCCACCACCCTCTTGTCGAAGAGGAATTGGGCTGCTTGCAAGCTGATCAGGGCTTGCGCTGTTCGGAGGTTCGGAACAGCCTGCATCTTCAGAAAGCTGGTCCCACCGAGCTTGGGTACGTCGTGGGACCTATCAATTTGGAAAAAGAAAACATAAAACATATGTTTCTTTCATTACGAGTACTGCAATTTCAAACATATCTATAAAAAAATAATGAACCTTTAAAACGAGTTGCAGAATTTATGCTAGCAGAGGCGACATTCGGTAGATATCCGTGCTCCAACTTTGCTATCACCAAGAACTCAGCAACAATGAGCTCAGATGGTGCAGCGGTTAGCATGCTGGTCTAGGCATTTTTTTTTATCGTGTTGAATATCCAGATTTAATTTGTGTCTTGTAAACAGTTCACTTTCTTTTGCTATTATAACTTGTGCAGATGCATGACAAGTACAAAGCAAGTAGCTGGCTCCCGAGACGTTCACTTCGTTTGAATTTCGGGAAAGAAAGACGAGCCTATTCGCAACTTTCACGACCTATAGGGGGCGTACTGGCGCCTATCAAAATGGCTGCTATCTGAATGATCGTCGTAGAAGAGCAGCACGAGGCTGGGCTTGCGACGCGTGAGTAATTCCAGCTTTGCTGTAAATGAGCTGTAATATTGCCTAAGTTCATTTTTTGCACGTCAGGAAGGTATTTGCAAGCACCTTTTTTGTGAAGCCGATCATCCAGGAGCTAGGGAGCGCTATTCTCACACCGCGGTACCACCATCGCTGAAAGTTGCGAATATTTTGCCGGCAGCTGGCAGAGTTGTCTGGGCGGACAAATGCTGGCAGTTTTCTCCCATTTGCGGGCTGCAAACACGTCACTATAGTGTCGGCATTATATATACATGGGTTTATAGGGTATGGCAGCCAGAGAAAAAAAATTGCCGGCAGTTCTACGTTGGCTGGCATATTTTTGTGGTTGTTACTCTGCCAGCAGATGGAAAAATAGGCCTGGAAACAAAATGCCAGCTGACAGCTCGGATCAAAATTGCTAGCAGCACTCATTCTTTGTGTCTACATCATGCCAGCTGCAGTCGATGTATGCGAGTACCATGCCTACTGGGACTGAGCAGAAATCGTAACTGTCAATTTGGATAAGTTTGCCGAAAAGATTCCCGAGTATAATTACTTGCTAAAATATTACACATTTGTACAGCGTAAGTTGTCTGCCATAGGAAGGCATCATTTTCTACTTGCAGACGAAAAATCTACATATAGCCTGGTGCTACGAATATACGACGTACTGTGCGATAGCAATTGCAGTACACTAGCCTAAGCCAAGGCCTAACCCCCTTCTCGATAGAACAAAGCAGTGGTGAACCTTTTGAAGTAACTAGAAATGAAAATCTTTCTAACCTTGCCCCTAAATTGTCACGCTGCCGGGAGTGATTGGAACGTCGAAAAAATTTCAATCATCCATACAGTAGGTTCAGCCTACAGAAGCGGCAGACCCTTAGTGGAACGATCCGCTTGAGTGTGACGCAGGTACTTACGACTTCGCTGCTGCTTGTCAAATACTTCTTGTAGGGACCGCGCTTCTGCCTGTTCATTCTGGAAGGCTGTGCAGTATGACCAAGTACCAGGATGCCAACACGGGTAACTCGACCTTTAGTAGAGCCACAAACAGTGGCAAATCCGCGCCATTTGACCACGCGTAAACGCTTCCACGCAAAGCCCTCTTCCGACGCCCGCCCAGCCGAGTGCAGCGTGCGGCAGCTCCAGCCACCCCGCCCGCCTCTCCAGCCACAGCCGGCTGCGCGAAACCACGTGTAGCCGAGTCAGTCCAGAGGGAATTTTCAGTGTTTTATTAGGAGCAGTGTTCATTCATAAATAATCAAGTCGGTAATTCATTTTTTTTATACAAAATATAACTCGATTATTGACTTTTTAAAGATTTATTCTGTTTTTGAATGGGTTGGCGGCTGGTTAATTGCGTTGGAATTTCGCCCCGTTTGCTGGCAACAAGAGCAGCCGGCGCGAAGCTCTTCCTGGAAAGTACTCTACCCGCCCGGCGATAGTTGCATGGATGTAAAGGGAGAAGTAGTATGGTAGAAAATAAAAAGAAAACATGTTTCAATTACATAATTCAAGGCTGGGTGGCTTAAGCTACCGCACGATATAAAAGCAACTGCGGCGAGCAAGCGGATCTCGGCGGGAAACACCTCGGCCGCGAGATCTTATTTGCTTTTTGAAACGCGTCTCGTGGTTGTTAGTCAATAAATAAAGTACGTACGCTTCTCGGTATTTTCTTTCCCTTTCCTCGAACGCCCAGTCTCGTTCGTGAAGCAACAATGAATTTCCGAAAGCCGAGGGAAAGGCGACGCAACCATCGCCGCGAGTAGCAGACGACGCTGCGCATAAAACGGTGCACCGACCTCGCAGAGAGCAGGCGTCGTCGTATTTAGACATTCTCCGTTCGTTGTGGCGCATCTAACTGTTGATAGTTGTCAAAAAAAAAAAAAATGGTTTTACATAATGCATTTTCTATCTTCCTTGAAACTGTTGTGGGTACACTATAGTTGCACGGGCGTCAGCCTTCCCCCAACACCAGCACGCCTGTACATTTCTACCTCCCCAAGTGCAATAAATAATACCAAAGTCGCAATAAAACGCACGCGGTAGCCATACGACTAGCAGATGACGGGAGGATCGTCGAAGTCGACGTGCCTAATTCTACAAAATTGTGACTGCGGTGAGGGCTGCCGTCTTCGCACGCTGATTTTCAGGAACTTTGGGGGTGGAGAAGAATTCTACTCGTAGAGTTTTAATCGTTTCGAGCTCTCTTGGCGCAGTTGCTACGCCCACACGGCATAATGAACCATCGCCGGAATGAACGAAACGTTCCGCGTTCAGAGCTTGAAATGCTGCCTCAGGTGTCGTGACGAATCCTCTTCACGCGTGCACGTAAAGAATATCGCGTTGAACATCTGCTTGGCTTTCTACAACGTTCTACACGTTCTACAAGGACTTTGTAGCCACAATTGGTAGGTCGAATGTACGGCAGACAGCAAAATATCTACCTTTTAAAAATGGCGAATCGACCGTGGCGCACCCTGGATTTTTGTTTTCTTCAACCCCGGTACCAACGCCTTGAAACCATAGAGCTTGAAACCCAAATTGCAATACAAAAAAAATTACTCGTCGCGAAAAACACGAAGTATAACACAGTGTAAAATGTAATTAGTCGAACTAAATTACTATTAAGTAAATACATTTCTCGGCTTTTCTTTTTGTGCGCTTTTATCGGTCAAGCACAAAAAGGTTTTAATCTGAAAAGATACCAGCCAATCCAATCCGTTGAGCAGTCTTAACATTGTGTGTTTACCGTTCTCTGTCAGCTGTAACTTAACGCAACGCAATATGACTGAACGCATCGACGCCGAGTTTGTGCTCGTCTATTTCGAAGAGGAGAACAAGTACGATGTTGTCGGCGACGTCTACATAGAAGAGCTGTGCGATTCGGCAGCGCCCTTAGCCGTAGGAGCCATAGTCCACGTGCTGTGGCAGGACAGGGGCGCCTTCCCTGCTGTAGTAATGGGCCTTTCCGGTAAGAACCCAGCTTCATAGTTCTTAAATGTAAAACGTTTATTGAGCAAATGGTGCAACTGGCAGTTGCGTTAAGGTAGGGTCACTGTGCAGTTACGGGGGGTTTTCGTAGATCGTTTTTACCTTCCCGCAGCGTCCTCCCCGACCCGCTACGATAACCGGAACTAGTCTACAGCCAAGGCCATCGGCTCGCATGAGCAGTAGCGGATTCTTCGTTGTGGAGGGCTTAGCGGAGGGGGAAACACGGTCTACGAAAACTCCATACCAGTGAGTTTTAGTATTGCGTATACGAGCAAACGCAAGCGCTGTGCGTTAGCATTGCGTTCTCCACGCTGCGCATGCGCGAAATCGCCATGCGCCAATCCAAGGGCGCAGTTTAGGCTCCGCGCTCGCGCAAGTGTGGAACACGCAACGCAAACGCACAGCGCTTGCGTTTGCTCGTATATGCAACACTAAAACCCACTATTATCATATCTGAGGGGAGAAAGGGCGGGCGGTGTTTTAGCAGATCGCTTTTACGCTCAAATAATGATACTCTATGCTATGCCGACCACCTTTTTGCATGTATTGTATTGTTATGTGAGTTGAGGGAAAAAAGAATTATCTTGGTATGTTTTTACCTGGCGTCACTCTCACATTCTCTCGATAAGGATTACAAGAAGGAAGTGTCTAGAGTTCCGTTCAGACGGAACGGTAGTCGCCACTGAAGTTCGTTCCATTCTGAACGAACTTTAGTAAACCGTGTAAAGTTACGACCAGGCAGAACTATAAACTTATATAAACTGAGAGACGGGGGCACCGTCGCAGCAAAGCGGCGTGTACGGGTAGGCAAGGGGAATTAACATTTTTGAAATGAGCCGTCGCATACTTTTGTCGCGAAGTGGTGTGGATGGGTGTTTAGGTTAGCACGTGCCCTAGTGATACATGCGTGTTTAATCGACACTCATTAAGCCCTAGAAAGATCACTTCGGAGTCGGGACATTAGCAGTTTAGATGGAACTCTAGTGGCGACTATCGTTCCATCTGGACGGAAGGCTAGCCACAACCTTACAAGAAGAGTAAATCTATACGCACTGCATCGTGCACCTTGACCGGAAATGGCTATACACACTACGCAAAGAGCTCTCTCCATTTGGGTCACACTTTTTGGATGGCGCATGTATCACTATGGAGCGTGTTAAGCCAGCCCTCCACTGCGGCGACAGTGTGCGGCTGCTCAGTACAAAACTATTAACCCACATGTCCCCCCCGTACACGCCACTTTGCGGCGTCCAGCCGGCAACCCAGGCCCTGCTGTCCCCGATTGCACCTTCGTTCAGCGAAGGTGCAATCGGCGAAGTTCAGCGAAGTTTCGTAGACAACATTAGTTGTTTTTTTTTCCCCAGTGTTAATTGTAAAAAAGAAATGCCATAAATATCGCCAAATGCTCAACAAAAACAAATGTTCTTAAAAAAAAAAGAAAAACAAGAGGAGCTTGTATTAGGTATTGAACTCGATCGAACCGGAGACTGCTGCCTAGGAAGCAGACTCCTTACCACTAAGCTACGCCACCGCCTCGGAAGCTGGTTGTAACCATTCGTTTTACATGAGTTTCACGTAGTGCGTTAGCCAATTCCGGTCAAGGTGCACGACATAGTGCGTATGGCTTTACTCTTACAACAATCCTCTCGACCTTTGCGCCGGAGACTAGTGTGAGTTAGAGCACTATATAGCTCTTACGGTGCAGAGTAGCGCAATCCTTTGATCCGCGTGTTTCGCCGTTTCATGGCCGACAGAGCAGCTCTGCGCGAGTCACGTGGTACTCAGGGTTCCAGGAGGCGGCCCGCTCTATGGGAGAATACATGGAGATCTACTCAACACGGGTTATTAAAAAATAAACGCCAAGTTCACACTTTTCGAAACTAGTCTGTCGTGAAGTTGGTAAAGCAATAAACATTTTATCAAATTTTTAATAATATTGGATGCGTTTGAAAATTTTGCAAAGGCAATTTTCAAAGCAATGGCGTTTGAAGCAGACAATTGTTTTACGCAGCGGAGATGGACTTTATGGATTGGCCGGAGCGGGTCACATGAACGGTGTGACGTCGCCGCTTCGTCTGCTGCATGATGCTGCTCAGGCAATTTTTTAAAAATAATATTAAGTTATTTCATGGCGCACAAATTAGCGCAAATTATTGTAAACTATTCCCTTATGTCAAAAACTATTGTCGTTCCATAGATCCCTAAAATAATCAGGAAGCAGCGATTTTCTCACGTTCCCCATGCATTTCTGACCAAAGTTGGAACCTCCGGGCGTTCTAGATTGCGGTACTCTGCTCCGAAGGAGCTATATAGTGATCTAGTGTAAGTTTCCCTGAAAATATGTCATGGTTGTGAAGCAGAGAACTTTCTTTTTTAATTTCAGCTGACAAGGACAAGCTCCTGAGGAAAATGGAGAGATTAATAAAAAGAAAAAACAAGGCTCTTGTCGGTGCAGCTCATGGAAAGACGGGCGTAAGCTATACAATTAGTTTCATTATCTGATATATTCCCTGGAGGACATATTTGAGCTTACTTTTCAGTCCGTGCTAGCAGGCTTCTACTGATCTTCTGCGAATAACAAGAACCTCAGTGGTGTGGAATGCACGTTTTTGAAGTGTTGTGGAAGCTTGATGCATATGCCCGCAAAGTGGCTGTGCTATCGGTCGCAAAAGTTCACGGGCTGCGGAAAGAAACTAAAAAATTTATTTGTGGCACTGCCTTGCAATTACTTATGGGTGTAAGCGGTTCTTCATCCCTCAAAGAATCATCTACACTCAAGCAACATGCCCAGAATTTAAGGCACTGCATTAAATACATTTTTTAACATCTTCCCGTGGTCCATAAACTTTTGCAGCTGTACATTCGTGTAAGATATGGAAAAGGCCAAGCGACCGCACAGCCTAAAGGATCCTAGTGCTATCTAATAGAAGAAGGCTGATCTATGGCGAGGCTATTGAGTGTACAAGCAGCATTCGACAGGCTATTGATTTTTGTCGTCACTACCACATGTCTGCCAGCTATTGCAGGGTCGACGCTGTTCATTGCATATTTTAGATAAAGCTTGCAGCTTTCCACTACAAACTGTAAGCGCGAGTACTCCTCTAGTTGTGCGTTGAGATAAGCTAGGCCAATCATAAACAACAAGCAGTTTTACTTGTGCATTGTGAAATGCTCTATTTTGTTTGTCCTATAAACTATTTAAAAATTCTAAATGTTTTAAAGGTATTTCTGCTTTGTTTGCGAACAAGCTAAGCGTCAGTGCCAAAGCCAGCATTGAGTGGGGAACAATTTCATGACCTTAGCGGGCAGTGGCGAAAGAAAACTGAGTAGCCAGTGCTCTTGTCGGGAAGTTTTAGTTTAGGGCTGTTGTCACCGTTGCATTGCTGTACTCCATTTACCCCTAAACTGAGAGGGCCGTGGAAGCTATCTGCTGGGTAGACCAGTCAACTCTTTGTACTGTGTCACATGATCATGCCCTTTGCTCATGCTGATATGAAGAGAGGGGAATCAGGTGATAAAAGGCAGGCATGTGACCGGTCCACCAATCACGGTCTGCACCACCTTGTCAGCTTAATGGTGAGCAGAGTACAGTGAAAGCGCGTGCAGTACCTTTTGAAACATGGCTCAAGTATTCACGTGTGAACACATTTTAAGAATGCTTTTGTGAGATATTACGCTGAATATACCAAAGATGCTAAACACGCATATTTTTATTTTGACTTTTCTGTTTTAGAACACATCTGCATTGCAGAAGAAAAGAGATGAGGAACTGCTCTCGGAAATCGGCGACGAGGCTGAGCTTCGGAAAGAAAATCTCCGTCTAAACCAAGTTATCGACCACCTCAAGGAGAAATTGAGGGAAAAGGAGGAGTCCTTCGACAAGCTTCTAGGTAACTTTCTCTCAAAATTTCTCAGAGTATATGAGCATTTTGCTGGCTTGGCTTTGGCTGGGTCTGATTTGCTGAGGTTAGAACATAGTGTAAGAAATACATTGAAAGGAAAAATTCAAAAATAGGTGTAGTTGAGGACCGCTTGGATGTCATTATAGATGTGTTAAATTCCTCTTAGTCACGGGACCCTTGAAACCCCTGGTTCAGGAAGGCTGCGATGTTTGAAAGGCCAGAAACATAGCTTGCCTCCACATTTGCTAGATTCCCAGCGGCACTACAGCACAGCCAGCGAAACTCTGACTTTGCCATTGTTTCCTTGTTTCCCTCCCGTGTTTTGAGCTGTTGGAATCTTTTATCGATGATTCCGACCTTGCCGAAGGTGATCTTTGCAGGAGATCTTTTTGAGCCTGTTAGAACTCAAAGCCTTCGCATTTGACACTGCCCAGGTGTCACTCTTGACGTACACGTGCATGCCTTCCCTCTCGTAAGAACCTGCAGGAGCCAGTGACTTCTTCTTTTGTGCTGTCTCGCATCTTGCCGCACAACATTTTGTGTGGGTGCCACTCATGAGAGTGAGCATGGCTACATTAGCCTCAATTGGCCTGACCAGAAGTATCAGGCCAGTTGCATTATTGTATCGTAATTTAGCTTTCTGGTTGGTGGATGTCTGCCGCAGTCATGGAACTAGCCATATTCAAGCCTAGGTAAGAAGGAAAAAAAAAAAAAAAGGAGGGAAATAAGTGTATGCATTTGGGCTAGTTGGTGGGTATGCACTTCGGCTAGTTTCATTCCGAGGGTTTTACCCGCGGAATGAAATAAAAACAGGGATCTATGTACCTGTGCTCTACTGAATGGCATGAACAACCTTCGATCAGACCATTTCCAAAATTTGAAGTTCCTTCTTGTGAAAAGGTGCCACGCTGTGTTTTGCGGGAGCCAGTTGGCCATTGAGTTTTGTGTCGATTAAACAACCTTGGCTGATGACATCATGTCGTGACTGGTAACACTGCTTGTGTTCTCGATCAGGTGTCTTCCCACAAATGTTCACTATTTTAAGCATTGCCGAGCGATACGAGAAGACGGGGGCACCTTTTTGCTGGTTCCCGATGTGCCAGATGTTGTGCATGCGCAGGCATTGTAAGATGATGGTTTACTAGCTTGCCTCACAATGGGTTTACTACGGTTGATCGAATGCCATTTCATTGAAGCACATTTTAGAGAAAAGGCACGTTTTATCGAAGCACGGTTTAGAGAAAGCAGAGCCTCAGTTCAGACACGCTGTTTATCGAAATGGGAACGCTTTTTAACAAAAAAGGCTTTTCTACTTCTCGCGTGTACCTCTGGTGCGCGTGTTAACCCATGCCCCCCCCCCCCCCCCCCCCCCGCTGCGCTCCCGCCGTTTTGCGGCAGCAGTCTGCGACAGCTCATAACAAATATGTTAACTTGCCTGATTTACCTGCACACGCCGCTTTGCGGCGGCCGAATTCGCTAAAAGGAGGCTCATTGCCATTTTCTCTAAACTGGGTTCTCTATAAAGGCATTTGATAAACCGGGGTCAGTAAGACGGCATTCGCTAAAACGAGCTTCTTTAAACTGCATGCCTTAAAATTGCCTTAGCTCAATTTTAACAAACCGTGTCTAGTACTGGTTCACCATCATTGAAGATTAGATACTTTGATCTGAGAAAGTGTTCTGTTTGCCAGAAGTTTGCTTCTTGTCACTCCATGTCACACACACAAAAAAAAAGCTGTGCATTCACTGTACACTGTATATTGTAGCCGTTCATTGCGGCTGCAAGAACCTTTTTATGCTGACCACAGGTTTCTGCTTTTTATCAGAACTCGACAGCTGCCTGAAGTCTGCACGAAAACTACAGCGTCATTTAAAAATTCCACGATGCACGTGTGGGGGCCGTCTTGTGGCGGAGGAAGCACCTGTGACTGGGCTGCCAGCTCATTCCAATGGACAAAGGCCCACAGGAGGGGAGCTTTTGCCTACCCTGAATGTGCAGGCACCTCCTTCAAGGGACCCTGGCAATGAAGGGGCCATGAGCACACAGCTCAAGCACCAATGGAGTGACACTGATGTGAGTAATAAGAGAATCAGATATGCCTTTCTTAACATGGAATATGTTATATCAAATTTTAGCCTTTCATTACAAAATCCTCTAAATTCCTCGCAAAATTTAAGGGAGCTGTGTCGCAATTTCCAGATTGGTCAATCTGGAAAAACCGAATGCTAACACAGGGGTGGAACGGCTGCACTATTTGGGCCATTTTGCGCCAGATGCATTTGTTTGCGCCATACTGCACCATTTCGCGGAAACTGAACCACAGCCAATAAATACCCGGCGCCATTATGCACGAAATCGCACAACGTGCGCCCAAACAAAATTGTATTTTGTCTTGGTTTCGGTTTCTATCGACTCGATTGGCAACAATGAGCGCGTTTAGCTTGGTCGGCCTTGCAATCCTTTGTTCTGTTTATTCTCCCTGTGTATCCCGACTCGGAAGCGCGCGAAAAAAACTCGGGGATCGGATTCGAAGCGCTACACCTGCGACTGGATTGTTATTCTTCAACCATCAGCGATTAAGCTTGTCGGCCAAGGTGAGGTCGAGTCGTTAAGCGTCGGATTGCCTGAGGCTCTGCAGCCCAGGATCCGGACGTCAGCCAGTTGAAAACAAATAAGCAAAAGATTCTTTTTAGTACTTCATCGTTAGAAGTTGGAATCGCATTCCCGCAAGATAAATCGTGATTTGATAGAACTGAAACGCGGTCCGATCCGAAACCTTGCCGGCTAGCAGCTGTCACACGAGTGGTAGATCTGCTCTGCATACTTTAACCTTGCTCCTGCTTATCGCTTTGAATACGATAACTCCGTTAATCGTAGTCTGCTGCTTCGATATTGAGTTGCACAATAGGATAAACTCAAAATTTGTTGCCCTGTTCATCCACGCAACTGCACGTCCGTTGCTTACACACATCAAGAGGTTCGCACGTATAATTACTATGTCGAGCATGTGTGGGTTGTGTGATAAGCAGTGTTGATTTACATTTTGAGCAGCTGGAAGCCACTCAGAAAATATCAAGGACACTATCTTCAGAAACATATGATACTTGCTTTTTGGTTAGCATTAAGGCTCACAAAGTTTCAAGTTTTCACATCTGTTACACTGTTATCCCATCTACCTATGTTCCTAACCACTCATGTTCATCTGTGCTCCTAAGCACAATTGAAATTGCTCCTGTGCTTGTCTAACACACAAGCTCAAGTGCAATAAAAACTGATCTGAGCTGCTCCTAGCCTGCTCCAGAACATAGTTTTAGCTGCTCCCAACCTGCTCCAAAACAGCGGTTTCAGCTGCTCCCGTGGCTGCTCCCAAATACATTTCATGAGTTCCACCCCTGTAACAGCAAAAGCGCTGCGTGACACAGGCCATGGCTGGTACTTGTAGCAAGCGTCCGATGGTGCCACATGGGGAAACAAAAAAAGAAACTATGACTATCATTGTTTGTCAACATGCCCTGTTTGTTTGTTTATCTGTACCACTGTGTTAGCGCAAAATTTTCTAGCGGCGGCTAATGGAGTAACTCGAGCCGTCCTGAGTTCCTCCGGCAGGTGTCACGTGATTACACTGCACCTGCAGCCAACCCAGCCGACATTGCTTGCAGCCCTTGCAGCGGCTACCGAAGTAACTCGAGCCAACCCGCATTACTCCGGCAGGTCATGTCACGCCGGACGCAGTCGCGCGTGTACGTTTTGAAGCGCCTGGCTACGAAACGCCCATTCCAAAGTCAGGTAGAGCAAGTTGTGGTACACAGCCTTAGGATCCCGTGTGACTCCCAAGTTTTGCGGGCAGCGAAAATGAAGAAAGTCGATAGAACCTACAGATCTAGAATCAGCTACGCTGACAGCGCCTCCGAGTCAAAGTGTTTAGAATCACGGTCTTGCAATCATAATGCTGTCTTTCACCTTCAAAATTGTCGACAGGGAGCTTTGTAAGATGCCATACCTCTTAACAACTGTCATTTTCTTCTCCTCGTTCCTCACCTTGGTGATTATTTTGACTTTGATGTCAAGCAACAAAACTTTCATTTTATGCGGTGCGTCATTCATTGTTAAAAAAAAGCAGAGATCGAGTCAAGAAAAGATCTTTGTTGTCGCAAACATAGTAGACAACATAGACAACTAATTGTACATCATCTGCAAAGTCGCGGAGTTGCTTTGTTCTTAATGTAATATGGCGGGTAATTTTTCTTTATGCAAGCTGTCGTCATCATCACCAGTATTGTTTTTTTTTTTCAATTTTTAAACCAATAAAGGCTTTACGTTTTTATGTTCGGTTTTGGGCAATCAAACTTCTGTCAAATTCTTCTTTTCTCGCGGAGGCTGCCAAAATGTCCATAGGCGACGCATGAATTCTTTGTTAAATCGAATTCGTGGTGCAGATCTACTTCTCTAAATCGAGAGAAAAAATACATGGTGTGACGTTCCAAGCCCCGGCGAGGCCGTGCTCCATCTAGGGCGCACTTATGGGGATGGTTTGCAACACCATAGCTCGGCAGAGGCCCTCTCGAAGACCCGGAAACAAGGCTTCCAAACATCAGCTGAAGTAACCAACATCAATGGGTCTTCATTTTCCTCTTTCTCCAACATCAGGAGAAGCTGCTGCTGCGGTGACATGAACCTCCGGCCCAATGAGAGTGGCTGTTGGACATTATCTTCATCGAAGCCAGGTGATGTGACGGTGACGGAATACCTTCACATCACCGCGGCTATAAAAGGGGGACCCGCGGACATGCGCGACCGAGACGGAATGGGACCTACTATCGAATGCAACCATCGTCTGATGTCCCATTAAAACATAGTCATCCATATAGGAGGTATTTACGGGACCCCATATTTGTGGGTGCTGTTTAGAGCGCATGCTCGGAACGAGCTCACATTAATAGCCTGCTAAGACCGGCAACCTTGATGGTGTTAAATACACGCTCCAAAAGGACTACGGAAGCCCGCCGTCAACACGCGCTCAGTAGCAGCGCACACGGATATGGCCGCCAGTGAATACTCCCTATAGCGCAAACCCAGTCTCCGACCTGTCCATTCCCCAGCCCTCTACAACTGGTGGCACCGCTGCAACCAGATGAGGTCCAACAACCACTCTCATTGGCCCGGAGGTTTATGCCGCCGCAGCAGCAGCTTCTCTTGATGTTGGAGACAAAAGAAGATGAAGACATGTTGATGTTGGTTACTTCAGCTCATGTTCGAAAGCCTTGGTTCTGGGTCTTCGAGAGGGTCTTTGCCGAGCGATATGGTGTTGCAGACCATCCCTCTAAGTGCGCCCTAGATGGAGCATGGCTTCACGGGGTTTGCAACGTAACAATGGTCTTCAATAGAAAGGACGATAAGAAAATGAAAAATTTCATTTTGCAAATTTTGTTAAATTGGGGTTCGTTAGATAGAGGTTCAACTGCACCAAGTTTAGCCAAGTCACACTTAGCTTCCCCATCCCCAGACTTGCATTATTGGATGACGGGATTCCTAGGGATGAGTTTGCCCATCGGATTTTGTAGTGCTGGGAGATTGACGCATAATGCTCTCTGGATTTTACTTTATCTTAAAAGATTTATCAGAGCTGTTGAGACATCTGACTGAATTCCAATATTTTTCACACTAATTGCCTTTAATTATATGCTGCAGGTCATCGAACTTGTGCCTGGTTCAGGCATTTATGTGCCAAAGGACACAACCTCAAGGCTCCAGCAGTCGAAAAGTGCGACAGCCACCGCCCGCACCCTTCTTTTGGACGTCTTCACTCTTCAAGCTCTCCTAACCTGCTCGTTGAAAGGCCGCCAGGCAAAGGGTTCTGGGAAGCCCGCCGAGCAACGACCCCCTCTCCTTTGGGCTGGCGTGAGCTGCATCTTAGGTAATTATATCCCACCTACGGGCTTCAGATGCGTGTTTTACTTTCAGGAGATTTCAATAAAAATAAGCTAAATTGTGCTGGCAGCAGTAGGCTAGCTTGTGAACTTAAGGGGGGACACTACCCAAAAAAGTAAATTTTTGAACCAATTGTCTGATTTAAAGTATATTTACAGGGCTTGTTTCTGTTGATGTCGAGAACATTTCTGCCAATTTTTGTTAACCTGGGTGAAGTACAAAAAAAATTGCGAACGTTCGAAGACGAAAGTGGGCGTTTCTGCGTAGGAAAACTATCGTTTTGAAATTACTTATAAATTTGTAGTTTTCATGTGTTACATTGCATTAGGACAGTTCAGGGCAGATAACTATGGAGCTATATTTCTATGTTATACCATCTTTCATGACAAAAACGCCACATAAACACAAATACAGTTTTTTAGATTTCCATCCTTTGTCCAAAGTTTAGTTCTTGAGCATGAAAAATGACAAAAATAAAAAATACAAGCTCATAGTTATCTTCCCCTTAAAATTTCACCCCAGAAAAACTCATAAAAATGAATCAAAGTTGCATAATAACAAAACAATAGTTCTCCTAAAGTGAAATTTATGCCAAAAAGTGGAATGTAGAAAATTGCGTTCAAAGTGCTCCAGCCCCTGCCTTTTCTTTAGCATCGGAGGACCGAAAATAATTTATAAAAAATTAACTATGCAGTGTAAACTGATGAAACTTTCTGGGAATGCTCTCTAAATGTTGGTGGATGTAAATATGACATTTTTCAAAATCAGCTTTTTTTTGCAGAAATTGTTTTTTCTGGGTAGTGTCCCCCCCTTAAAGGGGCCCTCCGCAGCGTTCTGCGATGGTCTATTTATGGCGGTAACTCGATCTACAGGCCCTAAGAATCCTAAAAACCATAAAATTACGGTCATGCGCGGCGGATTTCCCTATTAAAATTGCTATCAAAGTCTCCAGCACGCCCCTCTTTCTGAGATGACCCCGGAAAACGGGAGGGGCATCTCTTTACGCGTCAGCCAATAGCAAACGAAGGATCCTGGCGTCACTGCGCGTCACCAACGCGGCCGACCGCTGACCCGCGGAGAAATCTCTCGAACACTCGCGGACCGTCGTCAAGGGGCCCGGACTTTGTGCTCAGCAGTCGTCGCTCGTCGCGTACCGCACCGTCGCGCTGCTACTGCAATACGCAGTCGCATTCCACAGATGACAAGGAAAAGTTTGACTCGTTGACGTGAAAGGATCGCAAAGCTGGCTTCGGAGTCGGGATCCACGGGAAGAAGGAACACGTGTCCCGCCAACGCACGCCTGCAGACGCCCCGGGAAGCAGACGAGCCGACGCGCCGACATCACCCCCTAGCAACAAGCTTGCGGGGAGAAAACATAGTTCGCTGGTTTTGGAGCGACAACTGCAGACTATGTTTCCCGCATCACAATCAGTTTACGTTTTTCTCAAACTCTAATTTACAACAAGCTTAAAAAGTGTTAAAACAGTAACGTTCGCATTCACCGCGAGGTGCAGCATTTCCATTGATCAAGTTTTAGCGATGGGTGGAGACCATCCTCGACGAAGCTAGTGATGCTCTGATTTGATCCTTGTTCATACCATGGCCTGTTCCCGTCCGTGGTTGTTGGCGAAGGCCCGCTTCAGTTCATCTTTGTGCGCATACCATGACGTCAAAAAGGACTTGTGATTCTCGAACCAGTGTTTCGCGATACCTTCAAGTGCGAAGTACAGGTTGTACAGTCGTTGATTCACCAGCCACCCATTGTGGCGGGACACACGGTCATACTGCTCATACCGCAAACCTCTCGAATATTCGGACTCAAACGTTCGAGCTTAAAACACTCTTACTCCAAGATGATGATAAGGTTCATGAATTTTCCAAAACACTGAAACTAAAGAACTAATCAAGTCATACCCGGTGCTAGGAATCGAACCAGGGACGGAGCACCGCGTGCATTGCCTGCTTGGCCATGCACGCGGCAATACTGTAACTCAGAATAGCATTGTGTTTACCTGCAGAATATTTTACTCTGCAGGCAAACTTGTGACTGTAAACATTATTAGTCCTATGCCTGGGACAACATATGTACTGTTTATGTCTGCTCATGCAAGTGACATAAAAGCTCACCAAAGCAGCATTTTTTCCACCTGATTTACAGTGGTGCATCAAATATATTTGTAATTATCAAAAATCAGAAATAATCTAAATGTCAATGCAATTAAAAAAAATAACATTAATTGTTCTGAAAAGCTTTATTTGTGATTGAGAGTTTCATTAATGCATGTAGTTCAATAGCCATATTTAATGCATTATTATTGATTCTCTGCAGAGTACGTCAAGACAAAGGACGGCTGTCTGGACACAAAGGCCGTAATGCAGTCGCTTGGCACGAAGCTGAGTGAGCTCCGGAGCGAGCACAGCAAGAAACGGGAGTAGTCTAGGTGGTCCACCACAATAAAAGATATCAAGTGCTGATTTCAGGCTTCGTGTGCTTCTTTTGATATGCCAGAACAGATCTGGAATTTCCAGATCTGGAATTTCCAGATCTGGCTAAGTATATCAGACTATATCTGGCAGATATACCATATCAGTTTATATCTGGCAGATATACCATATCAGTTTATATGTGGCCAATTTTTGATATGGCCATATCTGAAATCTTCAGATCTGGCCAGATATAAATTTTTTGTAAGGGCGATGTTATCGCGTGCAGTACATTCTAGCAGTTCAGAGTTGGAGTTGGAGAGTGGGCACGGCGAAAATGCTACAACAATGACACCTAACATACCACTCCTGTTTACTCTGCAGGTTAGCAGGCAAAAACTTTCGTACTGCGTTAGGGGTAATTACGTTTGTCTTGTTTTGCCGTACCCACGGATGTGTCTGAAGCGGTTTTTGACTTGTTGTTACTTTTTAGTGGAGACATAGAGCGTAACCCTGGTCCCATGTCTAAACCTGAAGCCGAGTCACTAGTGAAAATGCATTCCGGCCAAGCAAGCGTGTTGATTCAGCTCGAAGAAATCAGGGACGAACAAAAACGAACAAATGACTCGATAACCACTCTCACAGCGCGTGTTGAAATGATTGAAGTGATCTCGCAAGTTGCAAATCGAAAATGAACTCGACAGACGAACTTGAGGCGAAAGTCGAGTCTGTACTTTCGGAATTGGCCATTCTCAAGCGTCGTTCCGATGACGCAGAGTGTCGTTCCCGTCGATCCAACTTGCTTTTATTTGGCATAGATGACTCGGCTAAGGAAACGTGGGCTCTATCGGAAAGGCTGGTTTTGAATGTGTGCTCAGATAAGCTTGACGTACAAATTGACCCTGCTACAATCGAACGGGCTCACCGCATCGGGAAGTTCGACACCAGCAAGAAAAGGCCTATCGTTGTAAAATTTTTGTTCTTTAAACATAAGGATGCGGTGCTGGGGTCGTGGTACAAGCTAAAAAATACGGGTATTTCTATCAGCGAGGATTTTTCACAAAATGTTCAACTTGCCATAAAACGGCTGCATGAATTTGCTCGTACCCAGGGGGGTCGTTACAAACTTCGTGTCGACAAAGTGTATATCGGCGATAAGCAGTTTTTGTTCGACCAGAACACAAACGAAGTTTATGAAGCCGCCTCCTACCTAAATAGAGATAGCGCGTTTGAATCTGTCCTTTCTGAGCTAAAAAAAGAACGCCGGTAAACACACGCGTAGCCCCCTTTCTTTGCCAAATGAGATATCAGTTCTTTTTGCTAACATGAGAAGCCCAGTCCGTAACCGCGATGACCTGTCAATAGTTATTGATGCTTCATCAAGCGATATTATTGTTTTGACAGAAATGTGGCTTTCAAGTGTCGTCCGTGATAATGAAATTTTTGACTCTGTTAAATGCTACAATTTTTATCGGTGTGACAGAACAGATAGGCATGGGGGAGGTGTTTTTAATCGCAGTGAATATAGCCATTGAATGTTGTCACGTGAATATTGTTTCACCGTTGGAGCTTGTTTGCGTACGCCTACAGTGCGCTTATAGAAATATTATTTTGTGCGTTTGTTACCGTCCTCCCAATGCACCTACAAATTTTTCCTCGAATTTGCATGATGCTTTAAATATGATTTGTTCAGGGTTCCCCCTTGCACTCATGTTTTTACTAGGTGATTTTAATCTTCCCTGAATCAACTGGTCTGGACCGTTTCCCGCTGCATCTTGTAGATCTTCTGGTTACTCGGATTTTATTAGTCTCTGTTCTGATTTTTCTTTTTCTCAATGTGTCACTGAGCCTACTCGGATTACTGATGCAACGGCCAATGTGTTAGACCTTATTCTTACAACTGACCCTAACCTCGCTTCTTCTATAACGTATTTACCGGGCATTAGCGACCATGCTATTTTAAACTTCAGCCTGCAAGCTTCCTCGCATGTTGCTAGCAAATCTACCAAACACTTTTTTGATTATAGCAAAGCAAACTTCGTTGCAATAAATAACGAGTTGGCCTGCTTTCTCGCCGAATTTTCGCCTGCGTTGTCAGAACGCACGATTGAGAGTAATTGGAACATGTTTAAAAGCAAAGTAAATTTTCTAATTAGTTTATTCGTTCCGCGTAGGAATATCGTATCTAACCACATGCCTCCCTGGTTTAATGAAACTCTTAAACGCCTTGCTAATGATAAAAGACGCATTTTCCGCGCTGCAAAGTTGTCTGGCCTCGCTGAGCGCTGGGAGCTTTATAAACCTGTTGTCAATGCTTATAAGGCAGCCATCAAGCAAGAAAAACTGACTTTTTTTAATGCCACCCTTCCTTCAATGTTAGCAAATAGCCCTAAACAAGTTGGAGTGTTATAAACGGGCCTAAGGGAATGGCTGTATCGCTCACTGATGTTGAGGGTGTTGACATTCCGAAAGCTCAATGTGCATCCATTCTGAACGATGTCTTTGTCAAGGCGTTTACTGATAGTGATGGTTTAGATTATCCCATTTTTCCAGATTATGCATTCTTTCCCATGGATCCGCTTGCTTTTGATTACGACGGGATTGTAAAGTTGATTGATAATTTGAAAGTTTCTTCCTCGTGTGGTGTTAACAAAATTACCTCTAAATTTCTTAAGAACACTAAACATTACATGTCAATTTTTGTTACAAAAATTTTTGAGCAGTCACTCGACCTTGGTGTCTTACCGGATGATTGAAAAAAAGGAAGGGTGGTTCCACTTCACAAGACAGGTAACAAACATAATCCTCTTAATTACAGACCCATCTCGTTAACCAGCACCCTTAGCAAACTTTTAGAGCACATTATTTATTCTCACTTAGTTAATTTCTTAGATTAAAATTCTTTCTTTTCACCCCCACAACATGGTTTTCGCAAATCTCGCTCTTCTGAGACTCAGCTTTTGTCTTTCACTAATGACCTACATTCCATTCTTGACCGTGGGTCCCCGGTTGACTGTGTGTTTCTTGATTTCGCCAAAGCTTTTGACAAAGTTTCTCATAAATTATTACTTTCTAAACTTAGCGAACCTAACATTGATCCTAATGTTTTGTTGTGGATTACGTGTTTCCTAACTAATCGATCTCAATATGTTTGTGCGAATGAAACTAATTCTTTCCTTAGTCCTGTTACCTCTGGTGTTCCACAAGGTTCCGTTTTAGGACCTCTTTTGTTGCTTATTTATATAAATGACTTACCACTGTGTGTATCATCCTCCATAAGTTTATTTGTTGATGACTGTGTAATTTATCGTGAAATAACTAACGATTCCGACGCAAAACTACTTTAATGTGACCTGTGGGCTGTATCCGAACGGTGTAACTTATGGAAAATGAATCTTAACACTAACAAAAGCAAATCTATGAGGGCTTCCCGTCGGAACACGTCCCCATCTCCATATTCAATTTCTAACAACCTACTGGAATCTGTGACGTCTTACAAATATCTTGGTGTTTACATCACTTCTAACATTTCATGGAAATTGCATACTGATCATATTATCGCTAACACTAACTCTATGTTTGGACATCTGAAAAGAAACTTCTCTTTAGCCCCAATATCATTAATATTGCTTCTGTACAAAACTAGTTCGTTCAAAATTAGAGTACGCCCCATCAATCTGGGACCCCGGTCACACAACGCTTGTGACTAACGTTGAAGCTGTTCAAAATCGTGGAGTACGTTTTATCTATACTAACTATCATCGCAGGGCTAGTGTATCATCTATGGAAACCTCATTGTCCCTGCCTCATCTTTCCTTACGGCGAAAAATATCTTGTCTATGCCTTTTCTACAAAATTTATCACTTCAACGCTTCACTAAAAAAAAAGTTATTCCTTAACGACGCATATATCTCTTCACGCATTGATTATCGTTTCAAGGTCGGCATTCCTCACTGTGAGACATCAGCATACAACGACTCCTTCATACCAAGAACGTCTTCTGAGTGGAACCACCTTAAAGCATCTTTAGCAGCTATCCCATCAGTTGATTTATTTAAAGAAGCGCTTACCAATAACTTTTGTTAATATTTTGTCGAATTGATTGCGTTTTAATCACTGCCTTTTACGTTTGTATTTTCTTTTGAGTGAGTTCTTATATGCCCCGCCCCCTCTGTAATGCCCTATGACCCTGAGGGTATTGAAATAAATAAATAAAAATAAATTCGACAGGAAGGTGGTTGATATTTTCCAGTTTCCTCAAATATGTCTGGGTTATGTCTGCAGTGATATCTACGATGTCCAGAGATTGCAAGGCTAAACAGAGCGATGACACATTCACTGAGATTCTATCGTATTTGCTGATTTCATGTGAAATCATGTCCTGCGTAACCGCAATAATGTAATTTGCTATTGAATTGTGGTTCATTTGCTAAAATGATCTGAATCCTGCCGCTTTGAAGTTAACGGGGATGCCAGATGGTGTGCTCTTCGGATATGTCACTTGATTGAAAGGTGTTAATTCGTTGTTTTTGTCATTCGCATCAAGAAGTAGCATGACTTCTCGTTGTTATCCTTTGCAGGTGTCCCGTCCTTGTGCACTCTTTTGGTATGGATCATGTCATCTTTCTCGTTAGTGTTTTTATTTTCAGTCGAATGGTTCATTGTAGTGCTGTTCCATGGATGAGGCCACCATGCGGATCCGGACTTTGTCGCCTGTGGCCGCCTTTTGCAGCTCACGGCAATGTGTTGTTGACCATTCTGGACCAGCGAGGCGCCGAAGTGCACTATCGCCACTGCTGATATGTTCAGATGTTAAACGTTGTGGTAGGGTTGCCTTGCTGCATGCCCATCCGGTAGGAACAACACAAAGCCGAAATTTCCATAGCAATAAACTACATTTATTAGAGTAACAGGAATGGGTTCTTAATATCAAATAAAACATTGCCGTAGCGTTCGAACTACACACCTCCGTGACCTCGGTCCGTACCACCCCCCCCCCCCCCCGGTTTTGTGGGCGTGTCCTCCTTGTAATGGCTCTTTCCTC